ATGTGATATGGTAAGGGATGCTTATGGCAAAAGCTATAAGGATTAGGGCTGTTTTTACCACAATACCAAAATACCGAACTATTGTTTGTTCCAGGTCACAGCACAGAATTCGCAAGTCTCAGACGTGGTAGAGAATACGCCGTGTCTGACACAGAAGCGCATCGAGTGCGCTACTATTCGGCCTCACCAAAAATGCCAAGGGTAAGTAAAATAATAATATTTTCCACGTGTTTGTTTATTAAATGTTTTTTTTTTCTAAAGAAACTGCAAGCGGTTCCACCACTTCCATCTGCGTCACAATTTACATATACACACAACAATGGAAATACAATTCTAGCAAAAACACAAGGGACGTCGATGTCACCCAGACCGGAAGATGAAAAGGTGTTTTGTTTGTTTTCAATCTAGATGATATAATCAATCAGGTTTTCTGAAAAAAAAAGCTGTTTCTCATCTTATAAGCAGGCTTTCATGTCATATCTATGACCACTGTCTGTGTGACAGAAATTGTTCCCACCAATACTGCATCTTTTTCTTACAAATAAATAATCCTACAGTAACTTCTCCCAATATCCTTAGAATTCAAAGTCCCTTGTCCCACTTTTTTAAATACTAGTTAGGCTAGCAATAGCAGAATAGATTGAAAGAATATATAACAATGAAAGCTTCTCCTGACTTCTCATTTCAGTGATTTTTGTCCTTAATGTGCTAAATACTATAATTTTTAGCCGCTTCCTACGAAGCAGATGGTCACTGTAGGAATTTGGACGGGCCCGTTACCTCCAGCAAAACCTTGTGCAGAATGTGGACCACTTCGAAAAGAAGTGCAAGATCTACTGAAAAGGTATGAAAGATAGATTATACTGCATTCATAGTTGGGTGATTAGAAAGATGGGCACAAATGATGTAATTTTAGGATATTTAAATCGACATGTTTTTCTATTTATTAAATAAAAGAATATATATATATATATCCGCTTGCCATAGATCTTTCGCCATTCAGCAGCTATATTTG